AAATGAAGCAGGCAAGCTATTCGAGCGAGTGCTAGCAGCCCGCATTGTAAAACACCTTGCAACGGACGGGCCGGATTTGGCCGATACCCAATTCGGTTTCCGGCGCGCCCGGTCTACCATCGACGCCGTTGCAAGGCTAAGAGACGTTTGCGAGGAGACACTCCGCGCAAGGAGGGGTGGTGCTGGCGGTCTCATTAGACATAGCAAACGCTTTTAACACCATCCCCTGGAATACCATTATAGACGGCTTAATCTTCCATGACGTACCAGTATACCTCCGGCGCATGATAAGGTCCTGTCCTTTCGGCCCGAACCGTCATCTATCCGGGTCGGGGAGGTTGGAAGGAACACAGGGTTGAGTGTGGTGTTCCACAAGGGTCTGTTCTAGGCCCACTCCTATGGAATATCGGATATAACTGCGTCCTTCGTGGCTCACATCTACAAGGTGTCAGCCCTAATATGTTATGCCGACGACACACTTATCACTGCAAAAGGTCGTACATACAGAGAAGCTTGCATCCTCGCAACGGCGGGGGTGGCACAGGTTGTGGCGCAAATAAGGCGCATTGGCCTCCAAGTCGCCCTCGAGAAATCTGGGGCGGTCTGTTTCCACGGCCCAAGACGAGGCTCCTCCCTGACGGTACACAATTGGTCGTATGTGGTGTGCCCATAAGAGTAAGCCCCACTTTAAAGTATCTCGGGCTTGTCCTCGATTCTCGATGGACTTTTTAAGGATCACTTCACGGTACTTGCCCCGAAGCTCGCTACCACGGCTATGGCACTCTGCCGGTTAATGCCAAATCTTGGTGGGCCGAGTGCGGGGTGTCGCCGGTTATTTGCAGGTGTGGTCCGGGCGAAGGCCCTCTACGGATGCCCCATTTGGGCTGATTGTCTATTCGCTCAAAACAGGGCGATTCTGAGACAGTCGCAACGGGCGATGGCCATAAGGGTGGCAAGGGCGTACCGGCACCGTTCTCTTGCGAGGCAGCGTGTGTTATTGCAGGAACTGCCCCTGGCACCTCGAAGCGGCTGCCCTAGCCAAGATCTATTGGCATAGGGCAGATAGCAGAAGTAGGGGTTTCGACCCCCTTCCTGAGCACATAAACAGTTGGAGACGGGAAGCCCAAGTGACCGTCCTTCAGAAATGGATGGATGAGTTACAAGATCACAGGGGCAGGAGTCTGGACAATTACATCTATACGTCCAGTGCTCAACTTGTGGGTAAATAGAAGATGGGGGGCACTCTCGTACCGACTCGTTCAGGTCCTCACAGGCCATGGATGTTTCGGTGGATACCTTCACAGGGTTGCCAGGAGGGAGGCATCCCCATTTGTCACGAGTGTGGTTTCGCAGACGACACAGCGCAACACACTTTAGAGGTTTGTCCGGCGTGGAGCTCTGAGCGTAGTTTATTAACCGCCACCTTCGGATTGGATCTGTCGCTTCCAGTCATAGTGAAAGCTATGATGGAGGCTGACAGTGACGGCCCGTGGAACACTTTCAAAGCGTTCTGTGAGGCCGTCATTACACTTAAAGAGAATGCGGAGAGGGGTTCGGGAGTGTAACCCAGATGCCGACCCTCAACGCAAAAAAAGGCCTGGAAGGAGACGTCGCGATTACGCACGTACTCCACTGTGCCCCTTAGCACAGAGTTGGGCAACGCAAGAAGTTGTGCTCACACAGCAGACGCTCATGACGGAGGCACGGATTAAGGGAAACTGTTACCGCGCCTACCGTCCATAGCGAACAGATGGGGCTGTTGGGTTTTAGTGGGTAGGTGTCCATTGCACCATACGGACTGACTCCCACACTCCCTGCGTCACTTTTAAATCGTTGCCCCGGCGCGGGGGTCAGTAAAGTGATTTCCCAACAATAAAAAAAAAAAAAAAAAAAATAGGTATGCTTTCAAATAAATATATATTTTATTACCAATATATTTTAAATGTTAGTAACTATTTTATTTAAAAACAATCAATATTTTTTTAAATCGTGTTTTAGTAATAATAGGTAATCTCTAATTGTAATTACCTGACTGAGAGTATGCAGGATATTAAAATATTTATCAAGTGTCCGTATAAATAAATTTTTAGAAACTTTGTTTTATCGTTTTTAAAGTTGTACTATATATAAGAGATTTTCAGGATTTTTAATGGTGTAAAGTAACCTTTAAAAATTAAAATTATTATAATTCATATCAGAGGATTTATTTATAACAGATTGGACTTATCGTTCTTCAAGTTATTCAATATTAATAATATGTAATACGCAAACACATTTTAGTATAAATTCTACATAAAAGGTTTCTCATCCTCAGAAGGTCGTATGTATACAGTAAATTATCAAGTTGTCCGTGCAACTGGTTAGCCTTGCTAATCGATCAACTCACTGAGCAGTAAAAATTAAAATAAAACTTGTCTATGGTTTGGGAAACCGTTTAATTTTAATGTGTAAACTCATAGCATAACCCAGTTCGAGCCCATAACAAAAATAACCACACAGACGTAACCCTCCAACACAATATAAAATATGACAATTGTGTCTAACTAATAATTTCTATACCAATTAAATTGCAGGCCTAGCGTAACAAATAGCTCATGGTCCTTGCTGTATTTGATCTGCGAGCACAGTTTTTGAAAATGTATTTGTAATATTGAACGATATTGAAGTGGTTCAAAATAGAAAACTAATTCTTTTATTTCAGAACGGCAAATGAAGAATGCAAAAAGTTTCAGAAATAACGCCTTTTGTTGGAATTCTTTTTAATCTTAGTAATTTTTATAATGTTTCAAGTAAGAATGGTTTTGTTTTAGTTACGATAAAGTTAAGAGAGACTCAGTCATATAAATATAACTTTACGTAAATAAACCATATCATTTATGTGATCTTAAAAAATACATCTACTGACTAATTGCTTGCTCTCTTAAGTAACAATTATACAGTAATGTTAGTCCTATTCAACTTAGTCAAGTTCAAGAACAGGTGTAGATAATTAATAAAAACATGTCTGTTTACATAATTGTATAATAGCGAATTTTCCTACATTAATAGATACACAATTGTATGAATGTTGTTTGTCAAGTTAAAGCAGCCGGTTTGTAAGGTCGAAATTGAGTTTTTACGTAAGAAGTCTTATTAGAATCGATACTTTGTGAGAGCCATGTTATGCGTGATCTTTTTAATATTGTATTATCTTACCGTTCCGTTTTGCTGTCATGTTTGTATAAAATTATTATTTCTATGTGAAACTGTTCTAGGATACAACAAATACTCTAACTTAATATTTCATTTCTTCTTTTTGTTTCTATTAAAGTGATGGAACTGTTTGTTTATTCTTAATAAATAATAATCTTAAGCTAATTCAAACTCAAAATAACTTTAATGATATAGGTAACCAAGTCGAATTATTATGAAAGTTAACAGATAAAAATGTTAAATTAATTCTAAATTTACATTTACTACCAGCTCGCAAGTGAAGGGCGTAGAGCGGGCAATTCGTTTGCCTTTCCCAAAATCGTAATTCGAATACCTGTTATTAAGTAAGTAATAAACTTGATAAAGGTGTATGTTGTTTACCTTAGATTATAGACTTTTTTTTAAAACTTATGTTTTGTTGCGGAAATGAGAAGCCTCTTTAAAACCTTGATACTGAATAAAAATATACCAATTAAAATTTGGCCTATCATACATCCTAATGTTTACCTTTAAAACGGTATAAATTATAAGAACATTTCGTTACTTAATGCTTGATGCCAACATACCAGGTGCGTATTATTATTAATATCGTAATATTGAATTCCGATTTTTATGATTGATTTGAGATGAAAAACATTTTAGCTGTTGAAATATGAAATACATTATATCTAATATAAATAGCTCACCATATAATTTGTTTAATTTATTCACTACTTTAGAATTTTAGCATGTTGACATAAAATCTAAAATGCTGTTTTATAACCCAAAAAGGTTATTCAGGTAATTAACAATAAAACACGAAGACAAAATCTATTATATTGTATTGTGTAACCGTATTTTATGTTCACGATTGCCTTGCTTAAATTAGTTCCCATAGATAGTTCGATTTTAAGCCAAAGCAAATGATGGTCGCTTTAAAGCTCTAGTTTCTCTATGTTGTAACTATTGTAAAAGTGTCGAAGAATCTTTGCAAAAAGCGGAGCTTTTAGTAGATTTTTCTATTAAGGAGTCGTTATAATCCTAAGATTATTTAAGTTTGTTAAATAAATAGGTGTTAAATAGCAAGCAAGCTTCCTATAGAAAAACATCTGACTCAGAATTTACATTTGTATATATTATGATATCATTAGTGTACATCTAAGTTCCGGGAACCCGTTATGTTATGTATAATATGTTTTAATGTTAATAACAATTTTTTTACCGTCAAGAAACTAGATTAACTAGTCTCTAATCAATGACATGATCTTAATACAATACCACGTTGCAAGCGGTATGTTAATATAATAATATATTAAGAGCTGGTAGTTTGAAAACACTTTGTAACAGATAATAAGTTGAAATAGTTAAATTTAAATAAAATAATGAAAAAAAGTAATACATTAAGCATTCCTCCATTAGACTAATGCGATGTAAATGTGGTATTTTCAAGAAATCTATCTATATTCGGTTTGAATTAGTAAGTTACTGTTTTGTAATTTAGTCACATAAACATTCCACACTAATTATCGAGGCTTATCTTCATTCGTTTTTCGGAAAGAATAACTTTTATTTAAAATATTTTTTCTCTAATGCAATGTTGATGCCAAAATGGAAGAGAACTTTTTAGTTACCTGCCAACATTCAGAGGTAAGTGAAAAGTCATCAAATCGCGATACGTACACTGCCTTATCGGCGGTGGTCTTAAATGACATCGGAGCCTACGTGGGGACTGGGGCGCCCTTGGTGGATTTTCGCGATCGTTCGTATAAGGCCACAAACAAACAAAAAAAACAATAATTATCAATAAGTGAAAGTATAAAGTTCCATACCAACAGTCATGAAGAGCATTTTTGCTGCTGACTCGAAGATATATTTGGAGGGGTCAGTCAGATGAAGTCTGTGGTAGATGAGGTCGTAACCCTTACACGACCTGCCCGGAAGCACGGAGAACTCTCTGAAATCATTTATATCTAATTATTTTTCGACGAAACCTTCGTGACTCAGTCGCTTTAGCGGTGTGTTATGGAATAAATGTTTCAGTTTGCAAGATACGCAAACCTGGTCAACCTTTATAATAAAGAGAATATTTGAGTGTTATAACTACGGCACTTGTTTCTACTAGATAGTACTTCATGTTCAAAAATGCAGGACAATTAAACACTTATTTTGCATGTATGATAACCGTAGTTTTTAAAAATTATATGCTATGATATACCTGATCTTGTGACTATTTGGAATAATTTTCGATAAACGTTATTGATTCATAAAATTTTAAACTTATTTAATACGTAATACTTTACAACGTAGAGTTTGAAGAACAAAGTGTATTTAATCACTTAAACTTACGAAAATCTGCACTATCGGAATAACAAGCTTACTACGTGACCTCTATAGTGGCTGGAACTAGTTCGTACCTCCCACATAATTCTTAGTTCCAACATACAGGAACTACATTGAAATTGAATTCTATCGATATAGGTTACTTTAGCAGACTGTACCAGTGCCACTTTTTAAACCTGGTTTTGCGTCAATCATTAAAATACTATAGCTACTGAAGCTACAAAGTAAGCTAGTAGTTTATCGATATTGAAAACTAAGTATAAGTTTATTTAATATCACGAATAATAGTGTCATATAAATCAGTTTAAAAATTTTAAATATTTAAATAAGTGTATTTTCCTTTTAATGTGTTATAATATATCTGTATAAGGATAATTTATTCAAATGAATTATGAGATAAGTAAAAATATTCCTTGTGTATGAGACAATGTATCAATGGCTATTGTAAACGGAACAATCGTGTTATGGACAGTTCCATTAGCTGATTTTGCAAATTTTCACACGATTCTCAGATAAACACGTTCTATAAAAACGAAGCAATACAAAATAAAGAATATATAATGCAAAACTCGTAAGCCTGCAAAGACAGCTTCCAAATCCAGCTATTGATTACCTTCAATTTAGAACCTTCGTATGCATTAAATAATTTCTTCATCACTCCGGACCTCTAAGGAGATGTTGTAAGACGAGATTTATAAAATAAATCAAAATAATTAATAGGAGTGCATAAAAGCAAGAACGACCCTTAGTACGCAAGTTCAGCAATCCTTGTCTTCCGTTCCGTCATAAACTTTGTACTAAGTAATAGTAAGAAATAGCTATAGAAAAGTGAAATCTTGTTTGCTTACTAGGTGATTTCAGTCACTGCTCTTGAAATGTACAAAAACTTAACGAAATAAATTATTATCATTGTTGTTATGAATATTCTAGGATTTTTATTACGCATTTAACGTAACTGTTACGTTAGGTATTCTTGTAACTCGATGTCGTACAACCGGTTTGCAGAGATCTCTGGTTTTTATATCAATTAATTACTGTTAATTCAACGTAGGAAGTTTAACTTGAAGGTCCAGGGGCGAGAGCTCAAATTTATAAGAATTTAACTAACCATAATTTATCTAACGTGAGCCTCATTAAATTCTAATAGCTATAGCAATTTAAAAACAAAATTGTGGGAATTTTTTGGTAAGAATTATGTATGTAAAATACACAAAGGGTCTAATTAAAATATACAAAGATGTTTTTTTTTTACGAAAAATCTCTTTTGTAAACAGAAGAGCCTTAGGGTGTGTCTGGTCGGAGTGTATATTTCAATTCCATTTGTAAAACCAGAGAGGATAGTCAAATTTAAATAGCAAAATATCTGAAAGGACAATTGTACAACAACTTAAAAATTTTAAAGCTATGGTCGCATGTACTGGTCGTAATGCTTAAAAGCGACTCCTAAGAGGCTTGTGCGGTTTATAACAATTAGGCTGTGGCCTTGGCAGAATACGGCAGTGCGGGATGAATTCCAAGATTTCGTTGCGTGTATGTAATTCACACCCTCGTACCCATGACGGTGCGGGCCTGCGCAAAGGTAGTCTACCTCATAAAAAGACAGATTTTTCTACATTGAAATACGCATGAACAATTCCAGTACATAATGTATTTTAGTATGTAAGTTTAAAACTTAATTAAAAAAGGTTAATTTACTCGGAAGTCTTAAAGGTCAATGTCAATGCTTTATATAATACTGGACTAAGCAAATTATTTAATAATTTTTATTACCGATTGCACTTAATTCAATGATATTCTTGAGGTCATGAAATCATGCATTTCGTCAAGAAATTAAAAAATCTGTGAAGTTGCATGTTTTTGTACAAATTTCTAGTCTGTTTCAGTGATCATTTTTCTTTTATGCGTCTAAGGCCGAAATAAATATCGTTTTAAGAAGCAAATTCAAATCGAACGAGTCAGGGAGATGGACTTTAGGATACTATTTTATTTAGTAATGTGAGATAAGTAATTTATATCACACCAATGCAGCAAAGCACAAACCGTTACTTTTATTTAAATTTCTCTAAATACATAGTAATTATAGTTGCGAAAATATTCTGTCCGTGGGTCTTCGATTCTGGAATGCGGAGGGCATTGATCTTGCTAACCTTAATTAGACGTGATCCTATTGAAAGTATTTATAAAACGTAGGAAGATTATTTAGAACGATTTATCGCTTGTTTTGTATTATTGTACAATTATTTCTGCCCCTACAGGTGGTGACCTCCTAGCAAAACACATCACTTTAGATTTTTCTTAAGGAACTCGAAGACCAAGTCGTCTTAGACGAGTTACTACTTCTTCCACTCCAGCAGTAGCTAACAAAATCACAAGTGTATCATCCGCATAACATATTAAGCCTACTCCTGGCATCAGTCTACCTCGAAGGATCATATCCAATGTTCCACAAACAACAAATAACTTTTGCCTCTGGGACTTAGTTGACAGCTCATGGCTTAAACCTAAACTTCACATAAATTTAGCATAGTGGATGTCCTTTGGATCTTTATGTTATGTATATGTATTCTTAGGCTAGCTCAACATAAAAATACCTATAAAATATAATTATTAGATACATAGGCGAATATAATTATAAGAAATAACGCAAAAACTAAAAGAAAATTTTATGACTATCAACACGTAATATTTTTTTAAGATAATCGTCGTAATATACTGACAATGTAATATTCAAGTAATACATTATGTTTTTGCAATTTTTATCTTCCTTTGTTTTTGTGTGATTTGAACAAAAAACTATAAGCTGCTTTAAACAAGAAAAAGTTATTTTATAGTTACTTTGTGAGCTTTTTTAAATATTTTAGATTGCTAATATATTACGTAGGTACACAAAGATTTAGTTTTTCAGTTACAGCCTGCATTTGGTCATAATATGAGCCTAAGTTTTAATCTTATAATAACTGTATTAATTAAAGAACCTCTACTAGGTATATATATATATATTATACAAAACTATTACTTCTATAGGTATAACGATGCGTGATAACAACTAAATCGTGACTGCCAGGAATAACGCATTTGATTTAGGTAATACTGGGCCGATAGAAAAGGTTTCAATCAATAGATTATCAGTTTATGAAGCATGGCAATGAAAGGACAACTAAATACATACAAGTCTTGATAAATAAATATTATAATTGACATATAACAACGTATTTTGTCGCTCCCTAAGTGGTGGGTCTAAAGAATGGAAGAAGTAATGGTAATCAGGTATAAACCTCTTTCATGAGCCGATGTGGAGGTTAGATGCAACACCTCATTTCCGTAAAAATATAATTTGCCGGTATACCTTTAACCTATACGTTTTATGTATTAGACACAAAACAGTTGTGCAACCTTGAAAGTAGATTTTGTGTAATTATTTAATCTATGCAAATATAAAGTCTTGTAGCAATAATTAGAAACATAACTTCAGCAAGAATAAAAAATAAATATGAATATGACTCTTTAAACCTGAAATCGATAGGACAATACCATATTGAAGAAGCCCTTTGAGAATCGGACAAACACGCGTCTATTCGTCTACGCCATAATCTATCAAGATTTATGGAGCGAATTTATACGTTGAATTGTAAACTCTTTCGGCTTTAGAGTCGGTTAAAATATAAATAAATATATTTTTTGAACGAGCTCAAACATCGTGAAACAATGGCAAAGGTCAAAAGTATTATTTATTTATGCATTATAGTTAAATCTTGTATTATGTTATGCAAACATAAAAGTTAAATTTTGCAGATGAAGATTGGTTCTTATTCAAAAGAAATAGGTTTAAGTATCTAAGTTAAATGTTTTATTGTTTCCAAATGACAATAATTCAAATGTGTTACACCACTATCTTAAATTAAAAAAATACTTAGGTATTAGGTATACCAGTAGATTTAATAACAGGATTAAATCTCGGTTTTAAGTAGAATCACCAAAACATTGAGATTAAATATGTATCATATAAAAAGTTTTTTTTTTATTGAAATTGATTAATTTTACATATTTTAATGTGTTATCTGATAGAATGTATTATTAAAATTATTCCCAATCACTGATATTGACTATCTTTGTAAATTGATACTACAGTTCTCAGGTGAATAAGATAATTTTTGGGTGATTCAAAATTCTTTATCAATTTGATTTTAATATTTAACTCCACGTTTTTACATGCTTTACTGAGATTCAAGTATAATGTTAGAGAGCCTGTATATAGCCTTCCTTGAATAATTTACTGTATATATTGACAAAAAAAATATTAATTTGAACCAAAAGATTATGACTTTATATACAATTACTAACTGGCCTGGCGAACATCGTACCGCCTAACAGTCGATTCTTTATTTTTTTTTAATACTTATTCTGCCATTCGGGACACCGGTCTAGCTAGTAAGATAAAAAAAAGAAAGTTGATAATACAACAAATACATTATGTCAAAAAAATAAAAATTTACCTTCCCGGAACCCCTCCACTAACACTTGAACTTTATGATATGGTATTAAAGTTCAAATTGCCTTTAAATATTATTACGAATATTTTGTATGGGAATATAAAAAAGTGTTGTTTTTAGACTTTTTCACTCAATTTTTTTATTTTTTTTCTCCGTAAGAACCATCCTCGTACTTCAAGGAATATTATAAAAAAAGAATCAGACAAATCGGTCAAGCCGTTTTCATGTTATGTCGTGACAACGGAAAACGGGTTTCATTTTTATATATATATTATAAAGAGAAACTTTTATAATATTATATAGGCATTTTTAAGAGGCTCTTTTATGGCGCTACCAATTCTTTGTGTGGTGGAGATTAATAAACATTAATCTTTAAAAAATTACATATATTTATTAATTATTTTTTGCATGCCAATAAGCATAAAATTAATACTTACAAGGCCTCGACGCACGTTTTCATGTCATCCAGGGAAAGTATTCGATTATCAAACAGCTCAGGGGTATTCTTTCTAAGATTATAGTATCTTTCTATACAGATTTTCGTCTTTTCAACATCGCCATAACATGCATTATAGAATAACAGTAATTGTTTATTAGTTAAATCTTTTGGTATGTATTTTGATTTATCTAAAGTTTGTGTCCAATCTTTTAACGTATCTATGTGATCTTGCGAAAAAATATCCATCGCTGCAGTAGTGGCCTCGTAATCAAATTCCAGTTCGAAACTCATTTTTATTTTTGTTTATGAAAATATATTAATTAATCGTAATTTTCACTGTTAATTTTCTATGAAATCAATACACGACCAACTACTACGAACTAAATTTGACAACTGCAGCTGAACGAATAACGATAGTCGATAAATGATAATAGCCGTGGTCTGTGGTGAGTAGTCTGTGAAGCATAGATAATGGATGTGCAGAGTCAGCTTCAAAGTTCAGCAGATCCATTATGTAACTTTAATGAATATTGTGGTTTTTGCAGGCATGATGCTTCATCAAAATTACTAACGTAGTATATTTTATACTTACGAATATTTTTTGATAGTATTTAATAAATAAAGTATAATGCCTGCAAAAAGAATATTTATATGTTGACGTTTCGTCAAATTTAGATTATTTATTTTAAAATAAATTAATTGATTTGGATCGTCTTTTGAATTAATAAATATCAATTTTTGGGTGAATAACGGTTTTTTAAGTAATCCGCTTACCAACATAACTTTTACACATTTAAAGAAAACACTTTTTAAGAAAACATAAAAAAAAAATCCGTCGTTTCGCGTGCCTTACGTAACCACGCACGCTGTAAAGCACGCGAAACGTCCGAAAAAAAAATTATTAAAATTATTCAAAATAATTATAAGTTTATAATAATACATAGCTTCAATCCGTTAACCACTATAAAGAGGGTTAATGGACTATACATTTTATGAAAAATAACTAGGTACCACGATTTCTATGTATGAATAATTACTATCTAGACAGCTAAGTAATTTTGAGAGACACGTTGTAGCTATCGAAATGATAGAAATTAAAAAAAAATCGACTATCATTATACAGGAAATAAAACAAAATATATTAAATTAAATATTTATTTTTTAAACAGTTAACAATATAACTAAACCGTTATTTACAAAATGACAATTTATTTACATTAATAATAATAGCTAACAACTAGTAGTTTCAAAATGACGCATCTTGTTCAAAATATGTGGAATTATTCCCGAGTACATTAAATTTCAATTTGTATAACAAATGAATTATACCATACTATAAATCATTAATGTAACCATATTTTTGTCAATTTGTTATTTAACCCATATTGATCTTTTCTATAAGTCTGATCATTGTCTTAATTATTAAATTTAAGTTATGCCATAAAAATGCCTATATAAAATGCATCTATATAAAATATTAAAAATGCTTGGAGACTAATATATTCAAAATGGCATTATAGTTTAGTATATCCCCTGTATTACTATTATTGTCAAATTATCCTTATATATGCCTAAAATTTGTATTGTGTAGCAATTTTTTTTAAATCTAACCAAAAATATATTTTATTCTGCTTGTATAAACCAAAATTTTGAATTGTTCATCAGCTAATTTATGTATAATATAATAAGAATATGAACTATAAATCAGCTAGTAGATGAAAAAGTAACACATTTATTGGAATATATAAGTTCAATAGTTCTATTAGGTTAATTGCATTTATTGTATAAATATTTGGGTTTGCCATTATGTGTATTTTAGATTTCCATTATTTTGGAATTACATCGGAATAATATAAGTTTATATATTGAAACAGTAATACCTTATTTGGTTTAGTTAAAGGTTGAGTGGTATATACGAATAAATATATTGCTTACACTTGTATATAACTTTTATACCAAATATTAATATTCTCACTTAAAATAGTACCTTTGGGAGAACTAAACAACTAGAAAGCGCCTGTTCCCTTCAAATTTGTCTAAAGGAAGCCAATAGATTCACTACTAATCAACTAGCAAAGCCACAATTAACTTTATATTTCTATAACCGTGTCTGCCCGAGAATTTCTTTGTGTAGAATCTAGGGTTATGTTACACACACGCCTTATAAGTATTTATAACTAGGAACTTATTGATACAACATAATTTATAAACTAGAACTAAATCACCAAGTCCGCACCTGTTTTAATTTATTTATTGGTAGTGTTTTAATTTGTGTTTATAATGCATTTTTAATATAAATATAATTATATAAAAAAATATGTGTTTAGCTGTAGAAATTACTATGTAGATGTTACTTATAATTCGGTCTACTTTGGCACAACATTAATCACGGTATTATCACATTGTTCTAAAGTGTTGAAACCATAGCACCACAGTACAATTAACAATGCGAATGATGCTCAAGTTCAGGAGAGCCCAAACCAGGTTGTCATGGCAACCATGCTGGCCACACCTTTGTCTCAAGATTAGTCATCTATTAAAAATATAGACCCTATAGTCTTTAATTGTAACAGTACCACATATGCGACGTTGCTGCGCCGTGATATCCTTACAATTTATAATTTTGAACGTTACAAGCGTTGTCATGGTAACCTGGTTACAAAAACTTAAGTGGTCCTTCAGATTATAACAAAATTTAAATCCTCAACATTGGGTATAAATAGCAATATTCCCCAAATTATAATACTAATCACCGATCCTGAGATTCAACTACAGAAACACGATTTGAGCATTTTCCCCCCAAACCTAATTTTCTACTAAGAATTTGGTTTCATGCATGAGAATAGTCCTTTGTACAGATTCGTTATGTTTGTGTTTAATAAATTGGTTGGAAGAGAGCAGTTGAAATTGCTTACATCGGCTAAAGTATTAGGGGTAATGTTACAGTTCAATGTGAGATTTTGGTTTAGTGTTGATACGGCAGTACGTGCTACTGGAGCATTCAAGGCTGCAATGTCTTCGGGTTTGAAGATAAGTGAGCCCCATGTGGGGTAAGATCCCCATATGATGAGAGTGGTGATGATTTTCGGGCCAATACCACCGACGGCCTGAAAAATACATTAATATAATTGTATTTGAACTATTTTGATTTCGCTTATAAATTATTCTTTGCCTCAATAATTTGTTTCCTGAATAAAAAATGTCAGCGAAAGAAAAGTCCTAGCTTATGTGAAAACCATATTAGGCGATACTACTCCAGAGCAACTGTCCGTAACTTTGCGTATAACCTAACTTTTTAATGCTAAATGTCATCATCAGACGTCAAGGCAGAATGCGAAATACCACCCGTCCCACGTCTGACGTTTTCACGTCTGGCATTCCACGACAGAGCGCTATTTAAGACACTACCACCACTTTATGCAACCAGCTGCCAATCAAGTTATTTCGGAACAGTTCCGAACAGAACAACACCACTTTAAAGGCAGGCAACTCGAGCCCTCCGGCGTTGCAGGTGTCCAGTGACGGATGTAAGCACTTGATTCTAAGTGACCGACTCGCCTGCCCGTTTGCCTCCTGTCTCATAAATAAATTATACATACCATTTTGGAGGTGGGTATATGGGCGACACCGGCTACTATGGCATTGGGCGGAGTTCCAACTGGCATGTGGAAAGCCATGGAACAAGCGAGAGTTGCTGGTACCATCAGGTAACGAGGATCCATGTCCAGAGTCCGGGCCTGAAAAATGTTTGTTCAATTTATTTTAATATTCCTTCAGAACCACCTTTGTAGATAATATATCAGTAATAATAATAATAAATCCTTTATTTGCAAAGAAAGTGGAAAATTATTAATTACAAAAAAACCGCAGTCATAAAAATTTACATGCAAATTTCATATTAATTATCATAGTATAATATAATATATGTCATAATAATACGAACAATTCTTTATAATTGTTGTCAAAACTTATGGTCTAAATACTCCTTAAAATTTTAAAGCAAGCTCAGTTATTAACGATTGCTTCAAATCTGTTGGCACAGAAACAGTAAAAATGTGGCTGTTCCATACCGAACATAGTTAAATGTCACTTTTTCGATAATGTAGCTTAGAATAAAAATGAGCTTTCAAAACATATTCCATAGGAAAATGGTTTGCCCCAATTATCATTCACATGATATTAGAGCAGTGTTGGCCTAGTGGCTTCAGTGGCTTCTATCATGTCTAAGGTCTTAGGTTCGATTCCCGGCTCTGCACCAATGGACTTTCTGTCTACTTGCGCACCTAACACTCGCTCGCACGGTGAAGGAAAACATGAGAGAACCTCTCTCTATCTCCAAATGAGATGTCTCAAATCCAAAAAAATCTGCATGCGTCACACAGAACGATGAAGGCCATATTAAAGATTTTAGCGCCACTGGATTATTATTATACACATGACATGACCAATATGTATGTTTGATCAGCACAGTAAAATTAAAATAATAATCACGGATATATTAAAGCAGTGAGATCTCTTAAATAACTTACCATATTCGCCAAAACTGGTAGAATCAAATTGGCGATGGCAACATTCGAGGTAAACTCCGTGATAAACTGCGTGACTAGAACCACGACTAGCAACACTATCGTGGGATGCAGTCCGTGTAGGCCTATCAGGGAAGTACCAATCATGGAGGAAAGGCCAGTTGCCTTACTGCCTTCGGCTAGGGCGAAGCCACCACCTGAAAAGTAATTATGGTAAGTGGTCAGTTAACTAATGTTTATTTTCTTTATGTATGACTAAATTAGTAACTATGTACTAACTGTACATAGTTACTAATTTAGTCATATATCAAATAGACGTCAATATTTAAATAGACAGATCTAAATTTACATTTACTACCAGTTCAAAAATCAAGACCTGAGAGGAGCGAGATGAACTGGCGACAAACTCTCAGCCACTCTTTTTATTCACCATGTGTACAAGGAAATTGTATGGTACTGCAACCATGCTTCTCTTGTCATATTGAAAAGTCTCGAAAATAGTATCGAATGTAATATATAACATGCAAAACTCCTTATTGAGATTGAGATCGCAAGGGATGACAGATGATTCAAAGAGCCACTTCACTTCACTTTATTTATAATGGCGACATCTGTGTAAATCACAATTCCGCCAATGTCACGTTCTAAGTCTTCACACAGTGAGGATAGATTTGATGATTTTGATAGATTGAATTTAATCTAAGCAGAGTTACCCAAAACAAAAATGACATCACAATAAAGACAACACACACAGACATCTAATAATATATACAAGAGGTTAACATTTTACTACAAGGTATGGAGGGGAGAATCTTATTTATAACTTTAATTTATTAACAGAAATAAATTTCCCTAAAATTTTGACGATCGGGCTGGATGGGAGGGAAAGTAGGGAGTTAAGGTTACATGGACGAGGGAAATCTGGAGAAAGATTCAAAGAGCCAGAACAACAAACTTTTTGTTTTGACAGAAAAAAGTACTTGTCTCATTTTAAAATCCTTACCAAGTAAGAAGAGAAGTCCCCAGGGTATCTTTTCCTTCAGAATGTTCCATGTGACGATACTTGGTGATGGTTTGTACTGAGACAATTCTTCATCTGCAAAAAAGATGTTGGTATTAGTTACATAACCCAAATATTTTCTAGATTTCATCTACAATGAATCTCTAAAGATTATTATAATATTTATTTTATGAATGATCTCTTGACTATTTATAAATAAAGCCTATGCATAATTTCTAATAATTAAAAAATCATATAGAAGTAAAAGACAAATGGTAAAAAACTTGCAAATTGATCAACCTTAGAAAGAGACAGTTTCAGCTCTGTAGCTAAATAAAAAAATTAGTAGATAAATAATTATATTTATCAAAAACTAAATTTTGTACTTACAGGAAGAAGAAGAAGAGAAGAACTTGATGCAGTCGATGGACATTGGAAGAATGAACATGAGTATCACTATGAACATTGATACTACGCCATCTTTTACTTTCCTGAAAATAGTATGGTTAAAACTGGTTACTTAAAAAAAAGTTAGTTAGCTAGTTTAATTGGGTATTCGTTAATACGATAATGTAGGTACCTACTTTATTGACAGCTCAAAGGCTTAGATTTTTCATTACATCGCGTATAGTTTACGGCTACAACTCTATTTAAATGATGGGGTAAAAATGTAAAACAACGACGGTATAAGAACACCGTAATGTATCGGTTTTGTGTTGAGAATTTTATTTGAAGAATCTTTCCACGAACATATAAGTTCGAGCAATCGAAAACTAATATTGGCGTATTTTAAATTAAACTTTAATTATCGCATTCATTTAATACATTTTTGTGTTCGTTTTGAGAAGTCGACTAAATAACTTACATAGTGGTAATAATATCGGCCCATCCCAGCATGAAACCAGGCTTTCTAAAGATGTAGAGGAATACAGCCAAGATGAAAAGACCTCCAGAGGCCTGGAATCACGAATTATAAATTAATCACTTTAATCTTCTCATTCTATCATAAGAAACAATATTATATTTTTATTTTATTTACACAACTTTTTATTTTATTTATTTTTGGTAGTGTTCGTATAATAATTTCAATTCATAGAAAAATAAATGGTATATAGAAATCAAATATTAAGTAATTCTATTATTACCAGAAAAATGTAATTTTCGTAACGGTAACGGAATTTTTTTAAAAGTAATAATTTTCACCTTTTCGTGGAATGTCACAGGTCCAAGGTTTTTGTACTGTTCTCGGATGACTCGCATCGTGTTTTCAGAGCCTGATGAAGCAGCATTCACCTTCTTTGCCGCTTCACTATTCGGACTGTCAACAAAAATATATAAAATAAAATGTTAATTATTGTATCAAAATTATTGCCTTACTGATATATTATAAATAATTCATTTTTTAAATAAAAATAATAGGGATTAATAAATTACGAAAAGTGTTACAAATAATGTTATTTTGAATGATGTCGAATTTGTAGTAGATTCTTGACTCACCGGAATAGCCCCATGAAAGTGACCTGAAGAGAGATCCATACTAGCAGTTGCATAAGCAGCATTGGCGGAGTACTGTACGCCATGAACCAGAAGAAATCAACAGCGCCTGATATCTCGGGAAACTCTCTAAAAAATATTGAAAATTTCTTTTCCTATAGTCTATACTAAAAATGAAAAGAAAAATTCCTCTAATATTAAAAAAAATATTACTACAGAAAATTATTTCGAGTGGCGAAGTTTTTAATGAATTATATTTTAAGTTACATAAGATATTATTATATTATACTCTTAATAGTACATCAGTAGTAGGAAATAAATATTTATCTCTATTGTCTCTTCCAGATAAAAAGGTAATCCCTTTGCCTATTTTTGTAATTAAAATATTCACGCTAACCGCATCATTCCCATGAAAGCGTGAAAGAATTATCTAATACACATATAGATATATATAATATTTTTTTACACACATTCAAAAAATCTTGCCAAAAAATCGTTTACATGGAAAATAAATCAGTGGCGCTACAACCTTTTTAGGTTTGGGCCTCAGATTCTATCTGTTTCATGATCATTTGTCAATATAATGGGCAAGTAGGTGATCAGCCTCCTGTGCCTGACACATGCCCCCGACTTTTTGGGTCTAGGGCAAGTTACCTGAAGATGTTTTCCTTCACCGTTCAAGCGAATGTTAAATGCGTACATAGAAAGAAAGTCCATTGGTTCACAGCCGGGTATCGAATCTACTATCTTAGTGTGAGAGTAGCACGCTGAAGCCACTAGGCCAACACTGTTTTACTTTAATCAATGCAATTACACTTAAGTGGGGGTAAATGGCAACACTAACGAGTCGAAGATCCCTTTGAAGGCTGAGTTAGTGGCCGTGCCCACGAGTGTGCCGCATCCGCCCAGTGTTGAAGCGTACGCTATACTTAGGAAGTAGCACGTTGTTATGTCGCTTGGGATTGGAGTTCTGGAAAAAATGATTTTTTTTATTTATTATTTTAAAGATTAAGCATTAGGTAACATTTTTTGTAAAGAACATGGCAATTTAAAATAGTGATGCAGTGTTTAGTGCCAGTTCTTCTCGTCTACGCCGTAGATTTAAGAACAGGTAGTAAGTGTAATTTAAAAAGCATCAATTTTTTTTGATGTTCATAAGTGTACATTAAGTAACCTACATTAATAAATAATATTTTGATATTAAAAAAAATATTTAATTCCATGTTGCCTACAAAGTGGTACTATTTATAAAAAACAATCTTATTGGAACTTATTTATATTAAACAATAAAAAAATTATTTTACCTTAAAATATTCATCAAGCGACTGTTTTATATTATGATTAGAATCAACACACTAAAAAATACATTCACTTTCACCAAAAATTATTAAATTAAGTTAGCGTTTTTGGCTTTAGTTATTAGTACATACATATACTAAATAAGGTAAAACTCAATCTGTTAGATTCCTACTAATGGTCTAAGATCCCGCTATACAACGACCTTCACCGAGATGCTTATTTAATGAAACGTATTTTATATTTAATTTAATATGTCAATAAATATAATCCATATGGGTTGTCTAGCAAATTTCAGTCCAGAGTATGTTTAATTAATAATTTAAAAAAAATATTTTTTTAAACATTTCACCGGTATGATTATTATATAAATTCTATACCAATCGAAAGTTTGAAGCCCATAGAATATGCAAACTTTATGCTGCCCATTCTTTTCCGGTCACAACTATCGGGTTGCCTGGTATAAACAGGTAATTCTGTACTAGCATTTTGCAACGGTCTGTTTATTGAATGAAATTTAAATGAAATTAAAGATTATTTTATTCTGAACACGGTGGTATAGGGTTGTCTGCGAAAAATCAGTCCAGAATTGCGGTTGTCGAATTTTAATAAGTAAAATATTGCTAAAATTATTATGATTTAAAAATTATCTTAGCTAATAGATCTTCTATATTTCTATATTAAAATATAATATGTATATATATTAAAATATATATTTTATATTTTATTTTCGTAAATTCCATGTGGCTTAATGCAACGGATCCAATATGCGTGAAATTTGAGCCTGAGAACTGCGGACGGTTCTTAGATGAATATTTAAAACCAGTAGGATTCATTGGGGATCATACACCTTTAAAGATAGAAGACATTGTCGAAAAAAGTGAAACAGAAAGTGATGACGAAGAAGATTCAGAAGTTGAAGAACGTAGTTTTATGACCTATGACTCGGATTCTGAATAATTAAAAAAAAATTTGTATTTTTAATTTTTTACAATAAATAGAAGTAATTTTTTAATTGTTGTTTTTGAAGTTATACTTCTTTAGGCGCGTTATGAAAAATTGATGAGAGTGAAATTTTACGATGCGCGCGCACCGTGACACTAAATTATCAGTATGGGCGCCGAGCGTGCGCGAGCGAGATGGAAATAAGACAATCTACAAGTAAAAAGAAATAGAATATGCGTGAAGTTAGCAGCTATGCTAAGAATTTTGAATGACCATAATGACATTTACCTTTTAAACAAATAAAGGAGTTTTAATTATTTTTTCAAAGAAATTTAGGAATGCTTTTTCACAAAGACCTATTGTTACTTAGTTAATAGGTTATGAAACATACGTAGTTATTGAATTGAATGAATAATATAATAAAATAATAAATAATTATTAATATTAATTAATAATTGAATAATATACTAAATAGTAAATATTATTAACGTTAAATATTTGTTATTAATTATTTCATATTTTAAAAAAATAAAGAAAGCCAAAGAAGTTTAACTTCTTACGCGCGTACATAAGTACACGCATTCTTTTTTTATTTTGTCTTCTTATAATAAAAATAAAATTTGCAAGATTACCCTGGTTAAAAAAATTCACTTTTATGGGTTTTGATTTTTTTCCAATAGTTTCAATTGATTTCAATTTCTCTGTTTACATATTTTATAGATTTATAATTTGCATGTAGTAAATTTTTTAATTTTTTTCAATCAATATTTTTAATCAGGGTATTATTATATATGAATCACTACAACCTTCTTTTTTACTAAAGATGTATATATACTTTAGTGTCACATAAAAATATACACATAAATAATTAATTGATTAAAAAAAATTAAATAACTATTTCTCTATTTAAATAATAAACTACTCCAAAATGATGCATAATTATACGAGTCCATCGCTATCCTTTTCTTTTCCAAGCCCAAATAGCATGCGCACTCTCATTCTTTAAGTGGGCGGACTTTAAACAGCTGCTATGCTGTGTCCTCTTCTATCGCATGGGATGGTCGGTTGGGACCTCTCAGTCACACACATTCACTTGGAGCAATATTTTACTTTTTAAAATTCGACAACCGCAATTCTGGACTGATTTTTCGCAGACAACCCTATACCACCGTGTTCAGAATAAAATAATCTTTAATTTCATTTTAAATTTCATTCAATAAAACAGACCGTTGCAAAATACTAGTACAGATTTACCTGTTTATACCTGGCAACCCGATAGTTGTGACCGGAAAAGAATGGGCAGCATAAAGTTTGCATATTCTATGGGCTTCATACTTTCGATTGGTATAGAATTTATCTAATAATCATACCGGAATGTTTAAAAAATATTTTTTTAAATTATTAATTAAACAACTTGACTGAAATTTGCTAGACAACCCATTGGATTATTTATTGACATATTAAATTTAATATAAAATATGTTTCATTAAATAAGATCTCGGTGAAGGTCGTTGTATAGCGGGATCTCTACTATAATGCCTTGTTAACTAGCTTTTCAAATTACATTATATTAAATAACTAGAGTAAACTACTTAATAACTAAAAAATAATGTACTTACTCTTCTACATTATGTTTATTAACCGTTTGCTTTGAGTCTTTTCCATTCTCAGTAAGCACTTTCTTTTTATTAATGTAGACATCTCCAAGACCTTGCTGCAAAAATAAAATACTGCATTGTAACACTATTATTTTTTACTTAATCATTGATATAAGAAGTAGACATCATATTTACATATTGGGAGTAAGTTTGTGCACCATCCAGTTTAATAATTTTATCTTAGCTAACAGATTTTGAAATTATGATAATGAAGAGGTCGATACACAGTGAAGATTTTTCATTGTCATTGGTTTAGGTATAGTAGTTGTAGCAGTTTTAAAAGCACATACCTGTTCAAATACTTCTAATATGGCTTCAACAATGGGAACCATCATTGTGGTAGCTGCCGCATTTGATACCCACATAGATATGAACATTGTAACAAAAGTCAGTCCGAAATTTAACCTGAAATTATGTATACATATGTTTAAACAAAAATATTTTGTACGGTAAAGATATGTTTCTGTTACTAGATTTTCAGTAAATAAATTTAACAGTCAAAATTAAATCATATGTGGATATAGTACATACACATTCTAATTAGTCTACAAGACTTTTCATACAACTAAATGTAATTTATTGATTAATGGTAGTAGTGTGTAGTGAGGTTAGAAGTATAGTCCTTAAGCCATACCTTCTGTGTGAACATCCAACCACTTGAACAGTCCACAAAGCCACTCTCTTTGGAAGCTTTGAATGCTGAACACCGGCAGCAATCATCAGACCGCCCATGAACATCATATTAGTCTCCTTCATATATGCTGCACAGGTTTTGTCAGAGTCCAGAATACCCAGGGTTGGGAACATGACAATTGGGAGCATAGAGGTGACAGGTAGAGGCAGAAGCTCAAGGACCCAGTAGGTAGCCATTATGAGAACTACATACATGCATTTGTAGGCCTAAAAAATATATAGTTTATTTAATATTAGGTAGACATAATTATCAATGGGTCACAAACATAAATTTTTCTATGAGATGAGGAATATAAATTTAGTTCATAAGGATTATTTCCTAGTTTAATAATATTTTAGTACTACAATACCTTAGCAGATTCTGAGTCAGCATTTAATATTGGTATTGGTAGAAGTATTAATGGGGTAATAACAACAATCAGGGCCTTCCAGTAAATCGAAATAAACAAACTTATTCTTTGCCATAGTGTTGCACTAGCTCTTCCTTTTGAGAAATAATACGTAGTACCCCTGAAAGTGAACGATTTATTATTAATTTCGAATACTATATTTAATTTCTTATGACATATATCTAATGTAATAGATTTTACCGGCCGTCATCTCCAATCCCATTTTCGGCGGCACTAGACATGTTTGTAAACAGTAAATTTTGTATATCTTCTGTCTACCACATTCTCCAGCAGATCTGAAAATACGGCACCAACAATAAATATTTAAAAAAATACATTTTCAATTGAAATTAAGTAAAATAGTAAAATTTCTTATTAACAAACATATTTTAAAAATAGCGGTATTCGAACTTCGAATCTTCTCAGACCGGATGCCATTTACAGCAAATATAAACTACTGTCAAGTGTCAGTCATAAGTCAACTGCTAGTTTACAGCTTCTCTTATCCTTGAAAAACATTGTTTGTACAAATGCGATTCTAACCTTACTTGTCGCAAATGTCGCGCGTTGACAGCTGACACTTGACAAAACATCAGTGATAATTGATAAAGTTTTGACAGTGGGTACCGAATGAATAACCAAAACAAAATAATACCTTATAATTCAAAAAAGCTAATCAATTTAAAAGTAAAATGTATATTTTTTAATTTACCTGATGTATAAAGTTTAATATATGTTAAAAATATAGTTGCGAAATGTGCAGTCCTAAAGATAAATCCGACAATGAAGGTACGTGTAATATTCGTGTAAATATTTAATTTTTAAAGAATTATGGGACTATTCAGTGATTTTTTGTTTTAAAATATATATTTATATTTATAATTATTATTGATTATTGATATAAAAACGAGTTTAATATCTCTATTCTAACTTAAACGAAAACAATAATAAACACACTCTCACAGTATTTTAGAGGTTAATCATAGGTAGATCATAGCTAATATTACTAATACTTGTAAATTCTGCATATCCTGTTTGGTTTTATAACTTATTAGGATATTATTAAATAAATTATTAGGATTTCATTAACCTGTAAGCAGATACTATAAGCATCAAATAACAAAATTAACAATCAAGTCTTTAGATGTGAAGTATAATTATTGTTGTGTGAGTATCTGAGCATTGTTAACTAAGCTTAAACAATTATATTTTCTAAGACACCTTGTTAATTATAGATGCAAATCATCAAACTAGTTATGTTAAAGCATGAACCACACTTGAATAATACTTATTTATATAATTGGAAGAGATAAGCATAACATTTATTTTGTTTGTTTCTCAATGCAATGCATCTTTACTTTTGGCATAATTGAAACACATTTTTTTCATAACTTTCATATTTTCATTAGTTTTACTTAATAATAATGAAAAATTTTCACAGAACACAAATCCATAGAATAGGTTACTTATGTGTATATAATATATATATATGTACTTACATACATATAACTACATATATATATATAAGTAACAATCCTACTCAATATCTATTAAGCTGTAACTGTATTATAAGCTTTGTTTATTATATTCATTTAGAATGCTGCTGTTGGATGTTCTGAGGGGTTTCAGAAGTTTGAATGCAACCCTTTTTCGCCTTTTTGCCTTAAGGTTTAAAATTTGGTTCAAAACTACCTATATATAATAATATTTTTTTCATATTAAAACAGTTTGTTGCAAACAGTAGTATGGTAGCTACAAAAACCCTACTAAATATTTTTTACCATGATTTATAATGTCTACAATTTTTAATGACTATTGCAACATATAATATATTAGAAAAAGTGCATTTTAAAAGTCTCCTCTTTGGACATTATTATTTAATGGAGTCCTTGAATTAACTATCATTAAAGACTTTATAAACACAACACTTAGATGAGCATTTATTGCAGTGTCAATATTCATTACGTAAAGTATGCGTACATTCGCAGCTTCGTACGTCATATGGGTCGCAATGAAGCCATAATGTTTTTAGTTTGTTCTGTGATAACTATACTGTATTTTGTTTTCACAAATAAGATGTTTGATATTACCATATTTGCGGTAATTTGCAGATACAGTCGACTCTCGATAATTTGAAACTCAAGGGACCAGAGATAAATTTCAAATTATCAAGAGTTCAAAATAACAAGTGTTTGAATAACCACGACTGAAGGAAATAAGAATTTGATAAAAATTTGTTACTTATTATTTCTATATTCTTATTATGTATTAACAATTATTATAACAATTATTCACAAATTTTTATTTCGAAAAGAAGTCTGTAATCTTTTTTTGAGTGAGTGACTTCAGTTTATCATTGTCCAATGAATTTTCGATAGTGGTGAGAGCTGCAAAGCAATCGTCACTTGTCAGTTGTCACCCATTTATGTAAACAATTGACAAGTCTGTGCATGTATGTAAACAAACGACAGGTATGTGCATGATAAACGCTTCAATTTATAGAGAGTAGAGAAGACCGGATTTCAAATTATCGCATGTTGGCGAGCAAGATAATACTTTTTCAACTTCAAATTACCGAAGGGACCAATTATCATTGATTTTATTCAATTTATCGAGTATTTTTCAAGGGACCAGTAAAAAATTTCAAATTATCGAGAGATTCAAATTAACGAGTGTCAAATTATCGAGAGTCGACTGTAATTATAATATTCGCTTATATGCATAATCAGTATTACAAATGCAAATCATGGTAATTTCCTTATCTTCATTGGTGAACCAATCGCTAATACACTACAATATTTTTCATCCAGCCAATATTTTTACTTTAAATACCGTTAATCAAAATTGATAACGTTTTAAAATTGTATAGTTTTATAAATAAAGCTTGTCACGTTTGTATTGCCATCTGCACGTGCAAGGTTACGATCCTAAAGTAATGACGTTTATCAAGAACTTTGGTCCCCCAAATTATCATGAATTCGAGTATACATTTTCTGAAATACAGTGTAATTAACATTCAACAGATTATTAGCAAACGTATTTCCAAGCAATTCCATTTGGTATGAATATTTCTTATATAAATCGGTTAAACTGTAAATGCGTTACAAGTAAGTATCTTCCGTATTTAAGTAAAGAGCAATCGAGGTTTAATTGTATAAAAAAATCTAGTCGCGCATACTTAATGATTTACGTCATTTATTATTTTGAAGTTTCCTCAATAAATTTTCCTGATTAAATGTCATAATAATTTCTTTGCGTTGAGAGTTCACAGCAAAACTAAAAGCGCGATATCCTCATCTAGGAATAGGTCTTGCATAGGTTTGTGTTAGTAAAACGACATAAAGCCTATAAATATGATTATAATATATTATAGATATAAACTCGTTATTAAAGATAAATGTGTGCGAATATTTCTTTATAAACTATAATTTACTTTGTTCCTTAACTAAAATGGGTGTGGCATATCTACGCACTTGTCATACGACGACCTATAAACGAATTAAATATATAATGCCCAAATTGAACTATTTAACACAACACGTGTGGTATTTACATACAATATGGTATATTAGCCTACGACCTGTTATACGTAACGTCTTTACTTCTTAGTAGAATATGATTTTTGTAAACTGTAAAGTCATTATATCGTCTTGCCTAATGTCTAAACCAATAAATCAAGTCAAATCAAGATGAATAAATGACAGAAAGTATAATAAACATTAAATTTTATAAATTATATAGTAATATAATTTATTGAATTGTGGAAGTGTGCCAGTGGCATTGAACTATTTTATCATGAATTTTGATATTTTTATATAATGTAAATGTCACTTTTCTATTGCGTCGCAATCTTTAGTTTGACTTTGACGGCTCATTGGTCTAGTGGTTAGTACCCCTGACTGCGAATCCATGGGTTCCCGGGTTCGATCCCCGGCTGAGACAAAAATCGATGTGATGAGCATTTGGTGTTGTGCTTAGGTCTTGGGTGTTTAAAATATGTATTTATATGTCTATCTATAATATGTATGTATATCCGTTGCCTAGTATCCATAACACAAGCGTCACCAGCTTAGAATGGGACTAGGTAGGCAATTGGTGTGAATTGTCAAAAAAAATAATAAAAAAATATATATATTTTTGTATTGGTATTCTAGATATACAAAAAATATAGTAGGGCATATATTTAATTTTCGGAAAACGTGAAAAGATTCCAGAAACTACTATTATTCACAATGCACCTTGCACTATGTATGTGCACTTAGACACAGTGCCCTCTGTAGGTATCAAGTATATTAATAATACGCGTCATGGAATTCCAACTTTTATATGTATACTAATGACATGAAGAATGAATAAAATAAATCATATTCTTCTTTTAATTTCGTATAAGCTGCTATGATTATACTCATTGTAGGTAATACAAACTTCAATGCGATTGAATTCCCATGGTACTTATTGTCAACATTACTATTGTTTCAACGATTCTCAATCCAGTATATCATTTTACATGCTTTTGTCCTACATAATATGATACATTCTTAGAAATTCCGCATTACGCAATTAAGTAGGTATTGTATTTTATTAATGCGCTAATTACATTACTCTATTACTAGGAGACTTTTTTTTATTTTTTTATTTTATGACCTGGTAACATAGACCTTTAAGTCATACTAGGAGACTGAATGGAAATTACCATAGCTGATATTCTAATAATCAAAGCTTTCAGCTATTTTCTATGTCATTTAATATTCGATACAAACATTTTCTGTTCTCAGTGCTTGCCACACAAGGTCAGAAGCGTCACAAAAGTAAACGGCGGAAAAAATTACAAATACAACTATTAATTAAACCAACTAAAAAACATTCTCAATTTAGTTGTATTTCTATGTTATTAACGAATTTCATGACCAATATTATATGATTAAATATTATTTGTATTGATAAATGCGTTATTTTACCTTTAACTTGTCCTTCTGGGATATATATTATTGTATGTTGAAAATTGATGTTAAAATCGTCACTTAGCGGTACGATCACAATTTTTTAATGCGTGATATGTCATTTTACACCTTCACTAATTGAATATCCTGTCAGAAACTGTGAAACAAAATATACTATTTACTTGTATTAAATTTTATAGCAGATCAGGTTATTTATGCAGGTTTGGCTTTGACTAGCTCGCTGGCTATATAATATTGGCTGGTATAAGATTTTAAAAACAAATTATTTATTACTGACTATA